TCCCCGGCCGCCGCGTCCCTCCCTCAACGGCCGAGCGGAAGTTTGTGGACCCCTATCCTCTGCACCCCGAATCCGACCTGTCCGGCTCGGGGTCTTCCCCAATGACCCCCGGCCCTGGGACGGCCCTCTCTGGCTCTGCTGCCTGCCCCCGGGGCATTGCGTCGCTCCGGGCCTCAGTTTCCCCGCTCTGTGAACAGGGCATGACGCTAGCCCCGCCCCGTCCCAAGGGAGGGCTGGGGGGGGAAGAGCTGCGATAGGGCCAGCGCGGGACACCAGAGCCGGCCCCGACTAGGAGCTGCCCGGAGCTCAGCCCGGGACTGCGGCGAGAACCCCTGTCCCATTTTCACCCCGTGACCTTGGCAATGGAGCCCCCCTCCCCCTCTGAGTGCCAGCTGCTCCTCCGCCGAGGTTGAGGAGGGGCGGCCAGAGTAGAGTTGTACCGATGGGCAGGTTCACCTTCAAGGTATCGCCTTCCCACAGGACACTGGCCGTGAGATGGCCGGGCCTGACCATCAGGAGTGTATCTTGTCCCTAAATCTTTCTGGCCCTGGTTACTGCAGCGCCTCTGATGAAGGCAAGGCTGCCCCTTAATCTTGACGCCTCCCCCCTAGATTGTTCTAACTGGGGCTGGGGGACATACACACCTGCCCACCACCTGGGCAGGTGCTTCCTTTCTCTCTCCCTGTAGCCACTGTGCCACCGACACCCCCTACTCCCCCAGTGTTCTCCATGCACCTGAGTGGGCTTTCCCCGGGGCAAGTCAGACCTTGTCCCTTCTACATGAGGGCTGTTGTGTGGCTTCCTGTGCGGCCTTTGCAACGGCCACTCCTTCCGCTGTCCCCTGTTCCCCCAGAGCCCCCTTCTCCACTCTTTGTCAGGAATGACCCTGGTCATCCTCCTAGAAGCTCTCAGGGATCGCCCCTCCCCAGCCCCCTGCTGCCCCTGTAACCTCCAGCATGTGGTACTGACCTCTTGACTGTTTCCTGGCCGGGAGCACTTTGAAGGCAGTAGTGTTGAACTCTGAGGTTCTGAAAATGAGAAGGTTTTTCAGAAGCAGTGATGCCCAGAAGGGTTTTGAAGGGACAATAGGAGTTTGCTAGGGTCCCGAAGAGAAAGGAAGGGTGCTGTTGGCGTCAGGAAGGGCATGAGCAAGGCCAGGAGGCACAAGAGCCGATTGAGTGAAGACGGTATAACCGGAGCCCGGGTAGTGCCGTTGGGAAAGCGATGGATTGCTAGCCACAAGGTTGGCTGTTCAAATGCACCAACAGGAGCAAGATCAGCGTGCTGTATTTGAAATTTTGAGTCTCAGAAATCCTATTTAGCGTTGCCATGAGTTCGGTCTTTGATGGCAGTGAGTGTGTAAAGGGAGCCTGGGGGGCAGGGAGTTACAAGTTGGGCTGCTAACTACACAGTCAACAGTTCAAACCCTCCAGCTGATAGCTGGCAGAAAGATGAGGTTTTCGGCTGCTGTAAATATGTATAGCCTGAGAAGCCCCAAAGGTCCAGGGTCGCTGTGAGTCAGAGTGGACTCAATGGTAGTGGGCTTGGTCTTTGGGTTGCCGGTCTGTGTGCTGCTTGGCGTAGTGTTTAGATTGCCGCTCACCCCCAGAGAACAGAGGTCCGAGGCAACAGGCCAGCCGGTAGGGGCGTGGCTCCCAGCAGAGGCTGGGGATCATGGTCACCAGCACTGGGGAGTTGGCACTTTGCCCTGGGTGGAGGCATTGGGACTTTATCCTGACCTGACCGAGAGGAGTCACACCCTGCTCCCCAAGCCCTGGCGGGGCTCCTCATGGGTTTCCCTTGTCCCTGGGGAAGTGGGAGTGGGTGTGCCCCCTCTCTCCGTGCCAGTGTGATTCCCAACCCCCACTCCTAGCAGTAAGAACAGAATGAAGTGGGATATGAAGGCTGCCCCTCGTGTCTGCCCCCCCCCCCCCATTTACACACATGATTACAGGGCTCTGATGATGTCGCCATCTTCCAGAATGTCTTCTTGGAAGGCTCAGCCTTTCTGTGGTGCAGGCTTGCTAATACTGGGCTGCTCACAGGAAGACCACAGGTTCAAGTCCACCAGAGGCACCTCCGAAGAGAGGACTGGTGCCCTACCTCTGCAGACTCACTGCTCGCGATGCCCAGGCGTTGTCTTCTGAGTGTCCCTGGTGGGAGCCCCGACCCACCTAATGGAGGCAGTGGGAGAAGTGGGCCTGGTCAGGTATCCTGATTCTCCAGGTTGTGAGGGGGAACCTAGGTGTGAGAGACCTCCTGGTCCCTGCAGGCAGGGAACCAGGTTCTTAAAGCACTCTGTCCTTCAAGGTGAAGCTGGGGTGTTCTGCAGGTTTGGGGGCCAGCTCTTCCATGGTCTCTAAGAGAAATGTTTATTGGCTACCCCCTGGACCCCTAGGAACAGGTCTCAGGGAAGGTTCTGGGGGGTAGGCCAGAGGGTCAGCAGGTCACCCCCCGCCCAAATCAGCCTTGCTAGCTCTTGGTCTCAGGTAAGGATGCAGGTAGCTGCAGACCATAAGTGTATGAGTGAACACAGCTGGGCACCAATAAAGCTTTATTTACAAAAACAGAGCGGGCGAGGAGGCTGGTTGCTATGGTCTTGCCTGCTGTGGATTAGGGCTCCCTGGCAGGGGTTGGATCTCCGTCCATGCTGGGGCTCCCACTTTCACAGGGGTACGGTGGTGGTGGTGGTGGGGTGTCAGGGAAAGCTGTGTGGCTGGCAGACTGTCCCCACAGGGCCGGTGGGGAGACCAGGGACCAGGACTCAGACCTGCCTCAGGACCTCTTGCAGGCATCGGGGCTCCTACCTTATTCAGGCTAAAGGAGCAGTTGCATTGCATGGGGAGGGGTACACATTGACCCACCACGGAGCAGAGGCTCCTCTGTCCCACGGGAGCCCACAGAGAGCAGGGGCTTCTGGGAATGGGGGGCCCATAGGTGGCTCCCCTACCCCAGGTCCTTTGCTCCTCTGGCAGCCTGGGCTCCTCAGGCCCCTTGTCTTGGCTCACAAGCGGAGCAGTGGGGATCTGGGCCTGGACGCTGGGAGAGGGCAGGGAACCTGATGGAGCTGGGAGGCCCTGGGAAGAAGGCAGGAAAGCTCCACCATAGTGTGGGTGGATGCTATGTCCAGACACCCACTCCCCCTGCAAGTCCCCATGGAGCTCAGGACCACCCCCCTGACTGCTGTCCCTGGAGACCTTGAAACCATCAAGTGGCTGCAGGGACAAACAGACCCTCTGGCTCATGGGAGGCTGACTGTACCACCCCCTTCTCCCCATGGCCAAGTCTGCCTGCCAAACCCTTCCTTGGGGAACATGCAGCCCCGAGGTGGCAGGTCCTGACCTGGCCACCCTGCCCTGCAGGTGGTCTGCGAGTACGGGATGGTCCATGTGGTCTCCGCATCCGGTGGTCCTCGCGGCCGGGATTACTGTGTCCTCTACAACCCACAGTGGGCCCACCTGCCCCATGACCTCAGCAAGGCAGTGAGTTCTGCTGCCCCTGGTGGTCCAGTCCTCGGGCTGGCGGGGGCGTTCACCGTGACCGGGAGCATGTGAGGGGCCTGGGTGGGGAGGACGTTGGCTTCCTGGGTGGGGACCGGATGGGGACCTCAGAAGGACCCAGATGATGGGTGGATAGGGTCTTTGGGGGCCCTGACGCCTGCCTGCTGGTCCGTCCCCAGCCCCTACTGCAGCTGCAGGACTGGTCAGCCTCTGTACTCTGCTCACCTGCTGACCTCCCGGCCGGCGGCTTCAGCAACCAGATACTGCTGGTGGCGCGGGGCAACTGCACCTTCTATGAGAAAGTGCGGCTGGCCCAGGGCGGCGGGGCGCGCGGGCTGCTGGTCGTCAGCCGAGAGAAGCTGGTACGTGTGGGCCAGGTGACCTGGGTGGACATCTGACAGGACAAGGGAGGGACTGGGTCCCAGGTCCTGTCTTCTGCAACCTTGGGAGCAGGGCAAAGGAGGACACAGATACCTCGGGAGTGTGGGGTGCAAACTGCTGCTAGTGTTAGGCCCGGGGGCAGGAAGGATAGGGCCCTTTGAGCTCTGCTGGGCTTTGGGGACATGGGAAGCCCACATGCCACAAACCTGCCCTTACTCCCACCCACGGGATAGAGTTTAGGCTCAGCCGGCCCGGCTCCCCCAACCTCAGGTGGAGACGGGGTCCCTGAAGGCTTCACCTTGGCTGGCTCTAGGCCGAGTTCTCCCAAGGGGGCTGCTGACCCTCTGACAGAGAGGTCTATAGGGCCACACGCCCCCTTGATGCAGCCCCCGCACTCTTGGCCCCCAGGTGCCCCCCGGAGGCAACAAAACACAGTACGATGAGATCGGCATCCCCGTGGCCCTGCTCAGCCACCAGGACATGCTGGATATTTTCAAGGTGGGTGCCCCCCCCCACGCCCCTCCGCGATCAGGGTCTGTGTGCCTATCACTGGGAGGGGCCGCTTGCTGTGCCCCAGTGTCCGAGTGGCATCGGGGTGCAGGCTGAGCTGGTCCCAGGGCGGCGCCTCCCAGCCCCGTGTGGACCGGGGAGTGGGGACCTCTGGGTGCTGACTGGGCGTGTTCCCGAGGCAGCGCTTTGGCCGAGCGGTGCAGGCAGCGCTGTACGCGCCCCACGAGCCGGACTACAACATGGTCATCATCTTCGTCATGGCCGTGGGCACCGTCGCCGTCGGGGGCTACTGGGCAGGCAGCCGTGACATCAAGAAGTGAGCGCCCCCCCCACGGCCACGCCCTGTGCTGGGGGGGTGCACCGCCTGGCCCCAGGTGGGCACGTGCAGGCCCGCCCTCTAAGCCCGGGCTGCCACCTGCAGGAGGAGCACGAAGCACAAGCGGGAGGACGGGCCCGAGCAGCAGGAGGACGAGGCGGTGGACGTGACGCCCGTCATGACCTGCGTGTTCGTGGTCATGTGCTGCACCATGCTGGTGCTGCTGTACTGCTTCTACGACCAGCTCGGTGTGCCGCCGCCCGCCCCGGGGCCCACCACTCCCCTCCGCACTCGCCCCGGGGCCCACTTTCCCACCCCACCCCGGGCCCCACTCCTGAGACAACCCCTGGGAGGCTATGCTGCTGCTTCTCCCGGTGCCCCCCCTCGACTGTGGTGTCCTTGTCCGACCCCAGTGAGCCCAGAGAGGCCCAGGGTTTCCGCCCGAGCGGGTGTACTGTGAATACAGCCTTGTCCCAGGGTGCCTGCCACAACAAGGGCCCATTCAGGGTCCACTGACGCTGCCCCCACCCCCCCCCACCTGCTCCGCCTTTCATCTGAGCCGCGGGGTGTGGGAGGGGGGCTGGTAGGGGCTTGGCGCTCCTGTGACAGCCCTTCTGCCCCCCAGTCTACGCAGTCATCGCCATCTTCTGCCTGGCCTCGTCTACCGGCCTCTATAGCTGCCTGGCGCCGCTGGTCCGTAGACTGCCCTTTGGCCGGTGCCGGTAAGCTGGGCCTCCTGCCGGGGCGGGGGCGGTGTGCCAGGTGCCGGTCCTCATGCCCCACCTCCCCGCCCCCAGGGTCCCTGAGAACCGCCTCCCTTACCTGCACAAGCGCCCCCAGGTCCGCATGCTGCTGCTGGCGCTGGCCTGCATAGCCGTCAGCGTGGTGTGGGGCGTCTTCCGCAACGAGGACCAGTGAGTGCAGGCTGGGCGAGGTTGGCGGGGTGTAGCACTGTCCTCACATGCCCGCAGGGTCCCCCTCTCGGGAGCAGCCTGGGCCAGGCCCGCCCCAGCACGGCCGCCAGCAGCCTCCAGGCGCCACCTGGGTTCCAGTGGGTCTGGAGCCGTGACTGCGATTGGAATCTCGTGGGTGGCCAGCTGCGGGGTGGGGGTGGGGTACTTTGAGGTGGGGAGGAATTGGGAAGTCACCTTGGGCACTCACAGTGCCAGCCCCCCCCACCCCCCACCCCAGGTCTTGAGGGTGTTCTCTAGTGAGGATCGTTCCCTTGCAGGGACGATCGGCCAAGAGAGGGAGCTGCCTACTGCCTGCCTGCCCATGGGCGTGCAGGGCATCTGGTGGTAGTTGGGCAGCTTGCTGGGCTGTGTGGGCTGAGCCGGGTGCCACCTCCAGAGACCCCTTATGCCTCAGGCTCTGGGCTGGGCCCCTCCAGTGGCTCCCTACCCACCCTGCCAGGAAAGGGGGCTGGTGGCCTGGTCAGCACAGGGACAAGGACGGCCGTCTAACCCATTTTTGTCCGTGACTCCCCGCTCCTTTTGTGGGACCACAGCTTGTGGTCTGAGGAAGGGAGGTGCTGGCAGGGCAGGTTACGCTGCGTTGGTATAGGAGGGGGCTGGCAGACCCTGCTCTCCCCACAGGTGGGCCTGGGTCCTGCAGGATGCACTGGGCATCACCTTCTGCCTGTACATGCTGAAAACCATCCGCCTGCCCACGTTTAAGGTGAGGGGCAGGGACACCTCCAGCATCTGTGAACCCCCCGCCCCCCTCCGTCACGCAGAACTGAAATGTCCACCTCGAGACCCCTGCTTGCTTCCAGGGTCCCGTACTTCTTCCAAACCAAAAAGTTGGCTGGTTTGGGGGGGAGAAGTGAGGTTGTGGGGCGCTTCTTGGGAGTGGGCTCCAGGCATGGAGTGGGGGAGAGACTCTCTGAATCTCAGGTGTGAGCCTGTGAGCAGGGTACCCTTGAGTGTGGGGCAGTGGGTAGCCCCTGACGGGGGTGTCTGGCCTGCAGGCTTGCACGCTCCTGTTGCTGGTGCTGTTCATATACGACGTCTTCTTCGTCTTCATCACGCCCTTCCTGACCAAGGTAGGGCCGAGCCCCCCATGAGCTCACCTCCCAGGCCCTGAGGGTCCAGCCCCCTCCTGCTGCGGCCCCGCCCCTAATGCAGGCCCTGTTCTTCAGAGTGGCAACAGCATTATGGTGGAAGTGGCCACAGGCCCGGCTGA